TCTTGCGCAAGTAAATTTACAGTAAGGCGTCGGAATAGAGGGCTTATTGCACAAGAGTTATTCCGTTCCCCATGAGGAATAAGCCTTCTTGTGCAAGAGTTCTTGCGCAAGAAGGCAGCGTGGATGGACAAAATGGCTAAAATGGCCATCAGAGCTTTCTTGCACAACAGAGCATCCACACTGCCATGGAAGCTCTTGTGCAAAAGCACACAGCAGTGTGGACATGCTCTTGCGCAAGACCTTTTGCACAAGAACTCTTGCACAAAACAGTTCTTGTGCAAAAAGCCTTCAGTAGACTTAGCCCTAGGGATGTGTCAACCATCTTCTTCACCAAAGCAGCCATAGGCATCTCTGAGATACGCCAGTGCCTAGAAAAATTAGAACAGTTAGTTCAGACTTAATCTGGAGCAACAAAAGCCATAGTAACAGGAAGAGAAACATTTTAAAAAAAGCTTGCTGGAATTCTTACCCCAATGGTAATTGAGGGCATCTGACCACCTGTCATTAAGGTGAAGCTTTGGGATAGTTCTTCAAGAAGATCTATTTTCAGTTTCTCTTCTCCAAGAGCAATAACTTATGGAAAGATAGAATATCTGTGTTACTACACCATTGTCTAGTTCTGCCTCAAAATATATATGCTCCATTACAGATGTGCCTTCTGTTTTGACATTGGGATTTTACACAGATCCATTGTGTGTTCATTAACAGTCTTTGAAATACATTAATTTTGCATTGTGACCTATACATTAAATCTCCCAGCTGTATCTATATGTTGAATTTCCATCTTTCGCAAACATTAACTGGATAGTCAGTAAATAGGGTGAGGTGTTTTACACAGTCATTTTACTTACTGTCTGTAGCACTAAAGGAGCATTCCCCATAATACGTAATCACATTACATTGGCTGTGAGTTGTTTCCGCTCCAGTATTGGATAGTGCAGAATAGTTACTGTTTGTGCAGCAGTAGTACAGACACTGGTCTTTTCTTGAGCATAATGACTTACTTGTTATACTGAAGATTATCTTTCAGCAGGTTACTGAAAAAAAGGAGATACAATTGGTCTCTTGCAATTCTAGGTTTCGTCATGGATTCTTTTCAGCTTTAAAACATGGCATTTTAGCAGTCACTCACTTAAGTGTGGATAGAGTGTTGTTTCTATTTTTTTAAAATGATTGAAAATCAGCTAAACACCATTTTAAGTTACAAGAAACAAGCTATATAGTGTCAGTGAATGGAAAGCACTGTTTATGCTGGATAATGTTCAGAAAGTTGTTGATTCTGTTCCAAGAGGGAAGCCTCAACATCTAGTGGCTTGAGCAAAAGGCGGGGAGCGAAGAACTTCAGTGTTCTCATCTCAGCCCTGTGACAGACTTGCAGCAGGGTGTTGCCTCTCACTGCATCCATCCTGTGGCTCAATTTCCCTGTGTGGAAAATGGAAGTCATCCTGATTTAGTTGCCTCCCATGGGGTCTTTGAGGAGTCAAAGTATTACTGTGTATTTGGACCCTGCCTCTCTTTATGGGTGACAGCAGGATAGGTAAAGGAGAGGAAATTCTGACCCAAGCAGCAGAAATACAACCAGTGACATGAATCTTACTTTTGAAACGTTGACTCTCTTCCTTGTTTTTTAATGATTGGGAAACATGGTCTCAAATCAGCACATTTTTTAAATGAACTACAGAAATAAACTTTAAAAACAACAAATAGTCTGATAGCACTTTATAGACTAACAAAACATGTAGGTAGTATCATGAGCTTTTGTGGGCACAGCCCACTTCTCTGGTCATCTGAAGAAGTGGGCTGTGCCAATGAAAGCTCATAATACCATCTACATGTTTTGTTAGTCTATAAAGCGCTACCAGACTATTTGTTGTTTTTAAAGTTTATTTCTGTAGTTCATTTAAAAAATGTGCTGATTTGAGACCATGTTTCCCAATCATTAAAAAACAAGGAAGAGAGTCAACGTTTCAAAAGTAAGATTCATGTCACTGGTTGTATTTCTGCTGCTTGGGTCAGAATTTCCTCTCCTTTACCTATCCTGCTGTCACCCAGTACAGGTCTTTTCTCTGTGCAGAATTTCATTTTTAGATTGACAACAGATTCTGTTTCTGGTAGGTCACAAATTGCAACTCCTTCACTTTCTTGTGTCTCTTCTGTTTGTTTTTCTTCTCCTTTCCTGTTCTCTTACCTTCTCTACACTCCTTTTTTCTCTTCTGCCCTTTTCTCTCGTTCAGCTCTGCCTTGTAACTCTCATTCGCCTCTCTCCCACCCTTTGTACTCCTCCTCTGAAGTGCATTACTACTGTGAAAGATTCAGAGTGCTTGCTTTGATCACTAATTACTTGTAGTAGCTTCAATGTCTAATGCTAGTAGCGCAAGTAGTGTTTGACCTTGGAAACACTACTCACATTAGACTCCAGACCACAAAGGTTTAGTCAGTCAATATTATGTTAGACTGGTTTGTTTTAACTAGATAAATATAGGACTTTGTATACCTAAGACACTTGTATTTACATTATATATGGAGAAAATGTAGCCTATTCTGTAAATAGTAGTGCATATTACTTTTCATCAGAAGTTAGAATACTGAGTCTAGCTAAGGGAGAGAAAAAGTACTGCTATTATTTCTATCAGCATTGTATCCAAGACCCTAATCTGCAACCAGAGCATTGTCACAAGAACCAAATCACTGCTATCTCTCTCTCTATCTTTTAGAGTATGTCTGTCTGCGAGTCTGTTTGTTAAAGAACTCCTCCTAAACGGTAAGAGCTAGGGCCACAAAATTTCATATGCAGCTTCCTCCTCTTCTATCTTAAAGCAAGGTCAGGGTTTGTTTGTGACAAGAAAACCTGAAGTGTCATGAAAAAGACTGTTTTCTACAACAAGCAAGAGAAGGGGGCTGCTGTTTAGAGGGGCACCATATGAGAGTGGCCACTAGAGGCAGCAAACGTACAGAGTTTTGAATGCTCACACAGCTTATAACAGTGGTCTCCAACCTTTATAAGCATGAGTTCACTTTTTGAATTTGAAGTAGATCCTGGATTGCACTTAAACCCAAACACCTTTGCCCTGCCTCCTTTCCACCCCTTCTTTGAGTCTCTTCCTCCCTCTACCCCGCTCCCCGGTTCATTCCATCCTCCCTTCCCCATCCTCACTGGGGGCAGAGGGCTGGGGTGCTAGGTAGGGGGATGCAGACACTGACCTTGGGCTAAAGGATTTGGAATGTGGGAGGCGTTCTGAGCTGAGTCTGGGGCAGAGAGTTGAGGTGCAGGAGAGAATTCAGGGTGCAGGCTCTAGGAGGGAGTTTGGGTGCAGGCGGAATCAGGGCTAGGGCAGGAGTTGGGGATGCAGGAGGGGTTCAGGACTGGGGCCAGGATTCAGAATGCTGGCTGCAGCTGGACACCACTTACCACAGGTGGTTTCTGGGTGGTGGTGCAGGGGGCTAAGGCAGGCTCACCCCTACCCTGGTCCTGCACAACTCCCAGAAGCAGACAGAAAACTCTCTCCATCCCTGCCCTTCCTTCCCACCCCTCACTCTGTGTAAATGGGTTACATGGTGGGGAGAGTGGCACCCTGACCTCAGCACCCCAATTCCTCTTCTTCCTGTGCCCTGCACAGCAAGCAAGGGGTTCCTGGGGATGAGGAGAGTGCAGGAGCAGCACAGCAGTGCTGAGAGGAGCAGATGAAGTGCCAGCACTTGACAGCCTCTTGGGCAAACCTCTCAGCATCACCTGTCAAAAGTTCCAAGATCTACCAGTAGATTCCGGTCTACTGGTTGGTGACCACTGGCTTACGAGATGGGAATCTACAAAGTGTTAGCTAAATAGGTTTTTGTCTTTGTTCTAGAACAGTTGCTCTCAACCAGAAGAACATGTACTCCTGGGAGTATTCACAGGTTTTTTCAAAGGATATTCAATTCATCTACATTTGTATTTCTCAACTGGGGGTTGCAGCCCACATGGGAGTCATTGAATAGGAGGGTCACAAGTTCAGGGCTGGAATTAGGAGGTGGCAGGCAGGGCAAATGCCTGGGGTCCCATGCCATAGGGAGTCCTGCAAAGCTAAATCATATGCTTTAATTAGGAATGTAAGAGTTTAACTGGTTAACCAATAAGTGTTAGCTTATTAGCTTATCAGTTAACCTTACTAGTTGAACTCCCAGTCACTGCCGGGAGCCCATGGGAGATGCCAGGAACCAGTGGGGACGGGGCGGATGAGAGTTTTGCGGGGCCCAGGGCAGAACAATTTCGCAGGGCCTCCCTTTGGAGAAAAAATAGAAAAAAAGCGTCAAATGCGCAAATTGACGGCTATTTTCATATTAAATGTGAATTGGGTAAATGCAATAGAAACTTAATTTAGTTGGAATTTTTTTTTTATTTTAATTATATTGTAAGTCATTCTTAAACAAAATTCTGCATTAATAATTAAACATTTTCATTTGCATTTAAGTCTATTATAACTGTCTAGTCCTTTTGGTAGCACATTCTTCAATTATGTCATTAAAGTCCATTTCTTTACACAGGTCGTTTTCAATCAATATAATCGAAAGACCTACAAAACGCTCCTGGCTCATAGTAGATCTTAAGTAATTCTTTATTAGTTTCAATTTAGAGAAACTTCTCTCTGCCGAAGCTACTGTCACTGGACTAGTTAGAAGTATCCTAAGAGTGATATAAATATTAGGATATATGTCTTTCATATTGTTCGAACAAATTATTTTCAAACAATCATGAACTGTAATACAATTGTCTGGAATAATTCTACAAAAATTCTGCAACTCTTTGTAAAGATCTAAACCTTCAATGTCAGAGGAGTCACCATCTTGTAGATTGACATGAAGATCCATACAATGTTTTTTAGTGTGTCCTTATCCATTTCTTTGATGCTTTTCATATCATGTAGAAAACCAAATATTTTTTATGATTTTCGTACAACTCGAATCGTTTCTTCATAGAAACAAGAGCTTTGTGATTTTCGTACAACTCAAATTGTTTCTTCATAGAAACAAGAGCAGAATAAAAAATTATCAAAAAGTAGTTTATTCGGTATGATTCCTCTGTGCTTTCAATAGGTTCATCATTTCCCTCATATGAAAACGTATTTGTTTTATTTGTCAGACGTTTTTCCTGAAATGTTGGATTGATGTTCAATTCATCACACATCTCTTTGGCTGTAGTTAATGCACTTTGGAATCCTGAAGATCTGTATTCCTCCAAATATGATACAGGATACTTTAAATGATTTAAAGCAATATCCATTTCTATATTTGTCTTCTGCAGAATTTTGCTGGCAGTATTTACTTTAAGTAATACATCTTACCAAATAACAAGGCTGGTTAAAAATTCATATATTCTTAGATGCTTTCTGACAGCAAGTACTTCACATTTAAGTTTGTGATTCGTTACCGTATTTAAAAGTGCACTTAAAGCATTGTCCAATCCAGTTGTTTGAAATCAAATTGCTTTAATGCTTTCAATACGGCACTCCCATCTAGTTTCCGAAAGTGGTTTTGGTGAAAGTAGAGGAGCATGTCTTTTAAATACATCCCATCTTGCTGTTGACACCGCAAAAATTGTGTAAACCCTTTGTATTATCCCGAAAAATGTCACCGCTTGCGTGGACGATTTTGCAATATCTCCCAACACTAAATTCAAATTGTGACAAGCACAGGGTACATAAAAGGCTCTTCGATTTTCTTGTAAAATTAAAGCCTGCACTCCAACATTTTTACCCTTCATATTAGCCCCATTGTCATAAGCTTGTCCTCGACAGTCCTTTAAATCTAATCCTACATCTTGGAGTTCATTTTTAACCTTTCTGCTAACCCTGTTCCTGTTGTATCATCAACTAAAAAATTGATAAACTTTTCATCTGTTTTAAAATCTTGATTTTTCTATATTCACAAATTGGAGTATCATCGATAATTGTTCTTGGTGACTGACATCAGGAGTACAATCTAATATTATTGAATAATATTTTGCCTGTTTTACTTCATCAATTGTGTGTTTCTTAACTTTTTCAAATATTGATATAATTAATTCATTTTGAATTAAGTGACTCAAAAAATGGTTTCGAGTATCCTTTTCTGTAAAATGGTATACATGTTCTGCCATCACTGGGTCGAATTTAGCTAATAATTCAATTATTCCCAAAAAATTTCCATTATGGGATTGAAAAAGTTTTTCAGTTTTTCCTCTGAATGATAAATTTAGACTCGCCATAAATATAATTATTTCAACTATACATTTGAAAACTGCAACAAGTCTGTTTCTCTTTTTCTATCATGCTTTGCGTCATCTTATCGATAGTTACTTTATTCTTCAAACGTTTTTGTCCATTTAATCATTCCTTCACGATGATTCTGTAAATTTTCATGCTCTTTTAATCTTTCAGCCAAATGTTTCCAGTCATTGAAACCGCCAGTGGCAAGGGCAATTGGAATTGGTGCAAACAATTTGCAGCTAAAGCAGTACACAGTATCTTGAAGTAAAGAATAAACTAACCACCTTCTTTCCATCATTTCTCCATTGTTTAATAATCTGGAGTAATGATTTGCTGAAAAAGATCTGTTTTTTTCATCTCTAGGAAATTTAAAACTTTTTATTTGTACGGGTCCTTGCTCAGCAATAAACAACCTGACTTTATCAGTTAGAATAGTTGGCCATTTTGCAGGGTCGGTTAAGCTACTTTTCGGGGCACATTCTAACTCACCATTTTCTTCTTCTGATGAAAGCTCTTCTGAATACTTGGAATCAATTTCGGCAAGATCTTTGCTACTAATGTTGACTTCAGCTATTGCGGATTCTTCTAAAAAAAGTGGATGATTTTGCTTTAGTTTGTCTAATAACCTTGATGTTATTGCAGTTAATGGGTCATCTGGCAGATCTGGTGCCATTGAAGACGAAGTGAACGTTGATGTTAATGGCAGATTTTGTTCTGTTGTCGCAATTGAAGTTGGAGTAAATGTGGATAATTCCACAGAATCTACTTCTACTGGATCTGAATGTGATGACAGTGACGATGATTGGGACTGTTGTGGTTCTTCATCTCATTTTTTTGTCTTTTGAACAAATTTTTCCATAGTACCTTTTAGATTGAGATCACATTCTTCAAGTTTTCTTTTCTTCTTTAATTTTTGGCTTCCTGACAAATATTTTCAACCTGCATCTCTCGCTCCGCTAGTCATTTTATAAGTTGGGGTTGTTGGCAAATGTACACTTATAAAATTTGTATTTATCTGTAAAAAAAAAAAAAATGGAGTGAGTGACATGGGGCATGCGCCACGAACACAACCAATGGGTAGTAGTGTATGTGCAAATCAGTTTCAATGTGTCACCCGTGGCGTATTCACATTACTCTATTACACATGTTTAACATATCAATGTTAAATGTTCATTCTTTAAAAAATTAGCTAATAGCACTTTTCAGGTCTCTCCTCCATGTCTGTCTCCTCCTCCTCCTCCTGCCTCTCTCTCTATCTTTCTCTTCTCCTCCTGCTTCACTCTCCTTTTCTCTTCTCCTCCTCCTGCCTCAGTTTCCTTCTGCCTCACTCACTCTCACTCTCTTCTTCTTCTCCTTCTGCCTCCTCCTCCACTGACAGAGCCCCAGTGGCGGTTTGCACCAGCTGAGCGGTGCAGAGCCGAGTGCCAGGGCGGGAGGCGAAGGGGGCGGGGCAGTGACTTACGCGGCTGGGGGCAGGGGGGGG